AAGGGGGGCGGGGGATGGGGGAGGAGAAGCAAGCCATGGGTGGGGTTTGCCCAACCTGAGTTGGATGGGGGAGGGCTGGTGGGGGGTCATGTGGGGGGGGGGAGTTTCAATCCACCTCCCCGTTCAGCTCAGGCCGGGCAAACCCCAGCCCGTAGCTTGCTCCCCTCCTCTCCTTCCCGCCTCTTCCTGCAGACAGCCCTGATTGTTCCTTAAGGCACTCCAAAGTGGAGCACTTCATCTGATTCCTTCATCTGATTTGATGAGGGTTTATTTGTTGCGCAATCAGCCACTTTAAAGCACTCTGCAGCCATGCATGTGTCACGGCATGGCTGTAGAGTACTTTCAGGGGGCTGATTGTGCAACAAATGTCATTTCTGTCTGTGTCCTCCATGGCACAGGCCTGGTTTGCCCTCCAGACATCCCCCACTGCATGTCTTCTCATCACTTCCCTGCTCCCTTCCCTCTTTCCCCCCGCCCCCAACTGCTGTAAGTGGTTGCTGTTGCACAGAGCCAGAACTCTGCAGTCTATTTTTTTAAATTTTGTGTTGGCACTTTTTATCAATAATTTCCATTGCACTTCTTGTTCAGTAAAAACTATCTTTCTAACAACCAGCTCTCTACTCTACAACAGCCCTTCATTATACCCCTTTAGCATCTAGAAACCCAAAAAGATGGGTTCAGGCACCCTCCTGCTCCCAGGCAACCCAAATCCAGCAAGCACACTGGAGAGGTAGGTAAAGTGCAGGGTACTGAACTTTTCTGAACTTACATTTGAGAGAGAAAGGAAAGCAGAAAAGTGAAAACAGCCTCAGCCACAGATCATTCCCCTCCATTTGCCCTTTGTTCACTAATGCTAGGCTGGGTGCTCACTTATCCCCCTCCCTGGTGTTGAAGCAACAGCATTTCAGTGCCTAAAAGGTACTGTTCTGCCTGAATGGCCAAGGCTCTATACATTTGGACACCTCTGACCTGAAGCAGCTGTGAAGCAGTTTCCAATTATTGACATTTATGAGTGGTTAAATTGCTATGAACGTCCATACCTGGACTGTGGTGCTTTTTACCTAGGGGTAAATAGTACCTGTCAATTCTTCAAGTAAAAAACACAGTTATGACAAGGCACTTCAATTTTAGCACAAGGTGACAGTGGTCAGTCAGTCCCAGGTAGGGGTATATAACGTTGACTTTTCTAAGATTATCCTTGTGGTAAAAGATAAAGTGCCTTGTCATCACAGTATGTTTCCAGCTCTATTGTTGGCAGGCATTAGTTATCCAGAGCTTTAAATAAAAGCATCCTAAAAGGAGTCTATTACTATATCTACATCACTCAGAGATAAGGTGTGACATCTGGTGCTTCAGATTGGTTCTTTTGGCTGGGTCAATGCATCTGATGAAGTGAGCTTCAGGCCACTAAGGCTTGTGATTACTTCCTGGCATGGTACCTACCTACTTTGGTTAATTTGTAAGGTACAAATCTACCCTGCCTTCTACTTGACTTCAAATTAGCAAGGCTAACTATATCACTCTGGGTGAAACCATCCAGCAGGAGCTGTTGAAACCAACGCCTCACAATGGCTGCCACATTAGTTGGGTTGGGCTCACTGGATTTGTAATCCCTGGCTTCATGTCTGCTTCCCCCTGTACCTTTTCAGCTTCCCTGGCTGGTTAAATATATAATTTTAGGTCTGCCCTGTGCTCAAATGCTTTTCTGATATAAATAGTTCAGCTGAAGGGCAATTTCTTCCCCTAAATAGTGATGTTAATACAAACCCAAGCACACAGATATACTGATATCAAGATGATTTATGTCAATATAATTATTTAATACACAAATAGGCTGTTCCAGGATGAGCACCTTTATGTTGATAACTGAGCCATAGAAAGGAGGTTCATAGAACCATAGAAAATCAGGGCTAGAAGGGACCTCAGCAGATCATTTTGTCCAACCCACTGCTCAAGGCAGGAGCATCCCCAACTAAATCTTCCCAGCCAAGGCTTTGTCTAGCCAGATCTTAAAAACTTCAGAGGTGGAAACTATAAAAGTACAATTAAAGCAGCACAATTTGTAGGCATATCCTTGGAAATCATGCAACTAAGCTCATTGTGAATGTCCATCAAAATATACAATTGATACAGACAGTTATGATGATGTCAAACAAGGACACTAAAATATTTCACTCTGATTAGGAATGCACAATGCATATACCCCCTCCCTTCACAAAAAGAACTGAATTAGCATCCCCAGCCAATACAACAATTGCTTGCACAGAAAAATATTGTTAGGAAAGCATTTCTTGTTACGTGTAATCCAGCAGTGTCCAGAAGCATTAATTCAAATTGTGACTTCATTGTGCTAGGCACACTACAAAATTAATAATGAGACTGGCTCAAAGAACTTTCAGTCTGACCCTGCACTAATAAAATCAATTGGATTTAGCCACAGACTGATTGGGAGCAAGATCAAGGACTAAATACCATAGGCAGGACAGATGAGGGGTAGAGAGAGAAAAAGATACAGTGTTTAAGTAAAGTGCTCAAAGAAATGGGAGGTTGGAGCTGTGTATTTGTCGTTTTTGAAATCCTCCCATGCATAAAGAACTGTCTTCCACTGAGATTTAGCAGCTGGAAGCAAAGGAGAGAAACAGCATTGTTTGAGACCACAGGTTAAGAAAGGCCATTCTACAGTGTATTGTGGATTTCTCACACATGCTGGTAAGTTATTCCTGTTGTACTTCATTTTTGTTTACTTTAATTTTGTTCGGCTGGAAACTGAAGAAAAATCTTAGTTTCCTTTTTATATGTATAACATAGGCCAGAACAGACCACTTTATTTATCTAATGTGATGTCCTGTATAACATAGGATGCAGAACTTCCTCAAATTAATTCCTGTTTGAAGTATACAACATATTTTAGGAAAAAAATGCAATCTGTGATTTAAACATTTTAAGCGATGGGGAATTCATTTTTTCTTTATTTCCCTGAGATTCTGATATGCAGCACAGTGAGATACTGATTATTGACTATGCTAGTAAATGATTCATGATCAGAAACAGATTTTAATAGTAACACCACAAGTAAATTATAAACTGGGCTATCGATCAGGAGATTAAGGCCTTGCTGCCTGTTTGAAGTGCTCAATTTTCTTATTGCTGTGTTGAAAAGTTTCCTTTGATGTAGTGAAAGGTAGAATAATATGAACAGCTGAAACCTGTCATCACATTCCTTGTAGATTAGTGAGATTAGTGAATGATGGCCTGATCTAATCTAAAGCAGTATAACTCAAGTACACCTTAACCCTTTGATCTTAGTTTGCACCTCCTGAAGTAGACAATCTGACTGCAGCATCTCTAATTGAATGATCTGATATACCTTCTTGCAAGACTGTAGATAGGGTTGGCTTTAGAAGGGTTTAGATAACCTCAGAGTCTTTGGTAGAAAATTGCCAGGCAGTTGAACAATTAGGATTAAGATGTTTTCTCTGATATGGAAGATGTGTGGTGTAAGTACCTGCAGAGCTACTCTAAACCAGCGTGCAAACAGGTCTCTCATAGCAAAGGAACTTAACTTATGTATGGCAAGCCCTGTTTGGGTCTGGAGTAAAGATTTCCAAGATCAAACTCTCAAGTGAGGCTGTAAGTTTGAGGGCCAAATTCAAAACTGCTGTTCAGTCATCTTCTCAGCTGTGTGGATGCAACTCCTGTTGATGTGAATAAGTGTCATGTATGGAGATGATGGGATAGTCAGCAGGCTGATGTGCAAGGGAGTATAAAGGAAAGTGTAATTACACTTCTCATTTTATCCTCTGTATTCACACAGGGCTAAATTTGGAACACTTCTCTTTGTAAATAACATCAAGGGCCCTGTTCTGCTCTTGTTTAAGGCAATAGTAGCTCTGTCATTAAATTGAGTGATAGTAGAAACAAGCTCAGTCTTAGATATGGGTGTTTACAAAAAAGGGTAGGTAATATATTTGACAGAACCTTGTAATAATTCAGTGTAGCTTATTTTACCTACAGAGCTGATATCCTTGAGGGCTCGGCCATCATAAGTATCTTTGTTGCTATTTCACATCATGTGAGTAAATGCTTTTTTTTTTTTTTTTAATTTAGAGAAGAGCTCAGAATTATCAAGTGTGAGTGTGTGTGTCTGTCGCCAGCTGAATAAGCCATCTGTGCTATTTGTGCAGTAACTGTCAGGGGAGGGATAGTGAAATTATTGCTTTTGTTTTGCAACTTCTGTAGAACCATTTTGGAATCATAATTTCTTTAATACAGGGGCTGGGGGGATTTTCTCTCTATTATGTGGGTATGTAAATCCTGGACCACATCAATAGCCAAATCAAATGGCTATTTCCAAGATATTGGCATTTACCAGTAGGTGGGGGAAAATCAGTGGCTGGGTAGAAGGGAGATGTGCATAGCCCTTTACTTATGTAGACACACTGAGGTTATATCTGCTTCCATCTTTATGACTTTTAGTCCATGTGACTGTAAAGCCAACATCTTTTTTCTGCTTCCAAACCCTTGAGCTGCAGAGTTCATTCCCTAACTGCTATGTTTACAGTATACAGTCCTTTTGCTCTGAAGGGATTTCAAGTCTTGAAGCAGGTATTAACTGTTGCACGACAAATACAGGGGACATTGTTATCGGGAGCACTTTTTCTTGTTTCATTCGCCTCCTCCACCAGCTATTCTTTTACAAAACAATGGCGCTTCAGTCAGGCTGGGTTAGATTCTGATCTGCACAAGAAGGCAAGGTCTCTGGAAATAGAAGGATCCACAGATGGCCTTTCCCTGGTTTTGAACTACCCAGACTAAATCACACTTCCTTGCTTATATTTCACAGGGACTGCTGTCTGTCTGTATCTCCTGCCTATTATAATAGTTGGTCTGCCCTATACTGCTTGGATTTTGCTGCCTTAAGTTTAATGAGGAGGAAGAAATGTGATGTATTTTTCTCAATGCCAAGAAATCCATTCCTGTATCTTATTAGATGTAAATATAAAACATGAAGTTTGGGGGTTTGTTTTATTCATTGCAAAAGTTGTGAACGAATCCTCTGTGCTTTATTGATCAAATGATTGGGGTTTTTTTGCAAGGTTTCACTGACACACTTTTACCACAAATTTTGTTAAGCATGGTATGTGCTTGAAGTATTGCAGTGTAATTTGTGAATAATTTTCACAATTGGAAGCACATTCATTTTGAAAGGCACTGGCTTCTGTTTCTGTTTTGAGAGCATTAGGAATTTTGGGATTTCTTTTTTATAATCAGGGAAAGCTGTAAAGAAAAAAATAGGTCCTCACTTTAATAATACTGGTATCAATTCTGTTATAACCACCTTCAGTTGAGCACACTTTGAGTAACCAATACTCTTGCAAGTATTAGCTCACACCTTGCTAAAACTATGAACCAAAAACATAACTGTTGAGACTTCAGTTTTGATTCTGTGTTTTAACATATTGGGCCTGATTCTAGTACAGCATATACAATTGACTATTAGGCCCACTGTCCACAAACAGCTTGTTTGTGCAAGATAGGACTTTATTTTATGGTTGCTACAAATGCTGCCACCAACACTGGAGACTTGTACATAGGGTGCATTTTAAACCTGTTCAAATCCGTGAAGACCAGAAGACTTTTTGGGGAATGGGATAAGTTAAATATTTCACTTTGAAAGAGGGATTCTCCGTAAGCCAAAATTTAAATACTTCTTGAGAATGCTGTACAATAAAGAATTTCACTGAGCACAATGAACAAAATCTGTTTCTTCTGCTTCAGGAAGAGGAAGGCTCCATGGAATAAACCGTACCCAAGTAAAGGTAACGATTACTACACTGTCAGCTTTGTCTGAGTGGAGTCTTCAATACTGGTCTCTTAGTAACTAGCGGGTAAACTTTTTAGTTAATCAAATAACCTTGAATTAAAAAAAATACTCTTTTGTAAAAGATTCTCTTTTACAAAAAAGTTGTCCTGTCCCCCTAACCCATGTGAGTCATCCTGTTGACTTTGGGCACAGTCCTGTTCAGATTATCTTAATAGCAAAACCCCTGTTGTCTTCAGCTAGAGCAAGATTGGACCCTTACATAAAGGATGCAAGACTGGCCCTGAACCTCTGCAACACAAACCATTAAAACATAGGGATCAGCATTCCTAGTTCTCATTGCAGGATCCAGGGCTTAGTTTTCTAAGTTTTTCTTAAATTTCCTTGCTGGATTGAGACTTTGCTGGAGAACATTCTTATTCTACAGAATTAAAATAACTTACAAAAAGTCAAAGGGCAATTATATTGATAAATATTATGTAACTTCTAGATTTGAAAACCAGCTACATTAATTAGGAGGAAAATCTTCTGTCATTTAGTAGTAGCTGCATTAATAAGGGTGATAGTTGTTGTTTTTACATTATGTTTACACACACATTTTGAGGGGGAACGTTTTGCTAGCTGAAATGGTTTCTTTCATCATTCATATACAATCCTTGTTAAAGTATGCCACTTTAACATAGGAGAAGGGCAGGGGGGTGATTAAATTTAGGATATTAAATAAAATATTCAAATTATCTTCTGAAAAGCTTGAAAGGTTTTTCTGTGGGGAAAAATGTAAGAAAATAATGCTTCGTTTTTATTCATTTTCTTTAGAATGACCTAGACTTTGGGTAAATTAGAAACAGAAAATCAGTCAGCCACACTGTTTGTCTGTTGAAACAAATTATCTGTCAAAGGGATTTGGAGAAATGACCCCTTTTTAATTTGATCTGAGAATGGATGATAATCAATTACCAATATTTTTCTGATGCAGCCTGTTGATTTGCAGTCCTGTTTCCCTGAACACAGGAAAAATCAAGCAATAGGTCAGTTGAGGGCCTTTCAATAGCCTTCTTCAGATGGCATTTACCCCAAATTTTTTTCTCTTAGCTTTTCTTTAAGGTTATGTTACTGGTACTTTCTTCTGTCTCCTCATCTGGTTTTTTCTTGCTTCCCTCACATGCCCCTGTAGTAAAATGTATCCAGAAGAACGTCTCCAGCCTCTCCAGATTTCTGAGTGGCTCCATGTGTGTGCCTACTAAGGTTTTTGCAACTCCAGACAATTAAAATTAAAATTTGTGACATAACCCCAAGAATGCCTTTTCAGAAGTCATAGCAATCATAGAAAATTAGGGTTGGAAGGGCCCTCAGGAGGTC